CACTCAACAATTATTGGTCAGAGTAATATATCAGTGTACAAATTAAACATTATCAAAAATGTGCAAAAAAGTCAAACTTGTTAGGAAACAAAAAAACCTTTGTAGATAATTATAAATTGCCCAGCACTCAAATGAGATTAAAAACGTTTACTGAGAGAAACCAATAGGTTAAATATAGAGAATTTAGTGGCTACATTTAAAAATGTACATTAAGTCAAAGGTAAGTTTACAAATTGATAATCATAGTTTGCAATAATTAAAAGTTTATTTTCAAATTTATCCATTTACTTTTATTTACAATAAATAAAAAGAACTGTGTGAAATGTAAGAGATGGTAGACATTAAAAGTATTTTTCATATTAACTTTTATAATATTTCAGAATGCAGGATAGCAAATTTAAAAACCAACAGCAATAGAAAATATGTAAACCTTTTACTAAGATTGTATTAAAATAATAGTTTGTGTTTAAAGAAGTATTCTTGTACCTAGACACTGTACTATTAATTGAAAATTGTGTATTGCAAGGGGCTGATCCTCTTTTACCCATTTTTTTACAAATGCTTCCCCTAGTCCTCTCTTATTTCCAGGTGGAAAAAATTCTTTGGAAAAATGAGAATATGTCAAATCCATTCTGGATTCTAAATATCTGATAGAGTTTAAGACGCAGTTTTGTTACTCATCTCTCCCATCCAAGTAATGTTAATGCTAAACTCATCACTAGTTACATATGGTTTTTAAAAAGAAGTTCTAAAAAATATAAATAATTGAACAGAAAAGTGCTTTTCAGGATAGTCATAAACTTTACTCTTCTCAACTGGCATTAAGAGATTTAGAAATCCTTATTTGGGGACAAATTCTGCACATATGCTAAAAATAGGTGCTTTCCTGTGTTCCAAAGTGTCTGTAGCACAAAGCAGATGTCAGTCCATAACCTCCTTTTCTTCACAGCTTTGGTGAAATGCCTCTCAAGTCAAACACAAGCTCATACATGTTAAGACACTAGGGAGAAAATATGCCACCAACCTGAGCATCAGACATTAACACATCTACATGCATCTATGGTCAAGTGACAATAAGATTGGCACAAGTACAAGTTAATTAGGTATGTAGTATCTATATAGTTCCTTTATAAGTGAAGTAAATTCTGCATGTCTAAATGCAAACACTGAGCACCTGTCCCTTTCCTCAAAGGATAGACTGGGATCACATTCTACTAGTACCTGCTTTACCATTTTTATGCTATTAGCTTACAAGTGGGCAGATGTAACAGGACTAATCATTTTGGCTATGTGTGCAGGAAATATAAAAGCTTTGGTTTACAGTGATTCTGATAATACAGATTGTGATACAAATAAGTCATCAAGCAGAGAGGATAACAGTATTCACTGACAGCCTTTGTTACTAACAAAAATACCATATGACTGTGGATTAAAATGCACAATTACGAAAAACATGAAGAATTATATGACACTGTATACAGGCAACAGGTACAATTTATTCTTTACTATAGCTATGACTCCTCCCTCACCTCCATGAAAGTCAACCCTGACCATTGTCATTTCAACCAAGTATAAAGAATCCCTAGGCTCCCCTGAGAGCTTATTAGAATCTACACCTCCCAATAGTGAAAAGAGAGAGAGATGGGTGGCCCTGATATTTCCCACACCTATTATGGCATCCTATTCAGGCCATGGAAGAAGTCAAAGCAATGAAGTAGGAACAGTGATTTCACAGCACACATTTCCCTAGCCAACCAAAAAGAGGTATAAGAGAATTTCCTTTAGGATACTCGGTAAGCTAAGAAAGCTTGTTTAGATAATGTCTGGCAGAACTTCTATTCCAAAGAGTTCATAAAGAACTATGTGACATCAATTACTTTCTATTGAAGAATTATATATAAGCTCATTATTATACACATACACAAACTAAATTTTAGTCTACTTTTAGCAACAAAGAGCTTGGAAATTTACAATAAATACCTCTATTAAAAATCATTTATACTAGCTACTTGGGAAAAATGTACTGGCATTCCTACTGGAGGATGATTATTTTCATTCATGGTCAGTAGGTCATACATTTTTGTGTTGCTCCTCTCAGAACAGAGACTGATCTAACTGAACATTCATACTTCTTCCTTTCTTCCTCCCTCCCTCTCCTTGCTTCATTCCCTTTCCTCTCACCCAACTCCAAACACCACACACACACACACACACACACACACACACACACACACACTTCACAGAAAAGTAAGCTAGAGTATATGTCAAAATGTTAAACCCTAAGGATTAGAATTTACTGTCTCTGTATTTTTTGCTCATTGCCTCACATCTCATTCACTGGCTTAGCACTGGTAAACCGTTTTAAACAACCTCTTTAGGCAAAAACAACTACTCTAGCTCTGCTATGAAAATTGTAACTGAACCATGACATACAAAGAACCTGGAGGATGCCAATGTGATTGAAAATCAAGTAATCAACCTAGAAAACAATTTACTACTTTGAATAACTCTATGCTTATTTAAGACTAGCGGAGATTGCAGTATCTCAGACAAACACTAATGTTTCTTTCCTAACATTAAAAAAAAAAACAAAAAAGAGGTAAAAGAAAAGGGCAGGAGGAGGAAGTAGGCATTAAGAAACATTTGAAGGCCAATACACAGTCTAAACTCTTGAAGCCTACTGATTTGGGGAAAAAAAAAAAATCCTCATTTTGGTGGGTAATCTGAATTAGTAATATAAAATAAAAGACATACAGAGAAAAAAGGCACTAATAAAAACCAACAATTAAATTGCTTTATGTTACCATTTAACCAATCTTAAATTCAAATAAATATTTAAAGCAACCACCAAACTTAAAATAATATGGTCTTAAGAAACTGTCCTATTCTTAGCATAAACACTGTTGACAGAGTTTAATTTCTACCAAATGTTTTTGAATTTTTTCACAATTTAGACCAAAAGAAAAATTTTTTTTCTTTACAAGACTGCTGGGGGGAGGGGGGCGGTATTATGGAATAAATGCTTGCTATCCCTGGGACTCTTTGAGTAGAGGCTGTTTGTAGTAAGAGGGGTCCTGAGAGAGAGATAAGCTGTCTGACCTTGGAGGTCTCCCTAAATTTGGGGATATTTTTACTATAATTCCTATTAATGACATTTTGGTTTATAACAGCCAATGTTTACCCAAACTTGCTCTCCCCTTACTTTACAAAAAAAAATCATAACAGCATTGCTGAACTTTCAGATTTAGTGTCTGCTATAAAGTAACTCTGTTCGTCCATATTCCCCTTAGACTGTGACTTCAAGGATGTTAATTTCCTACTTATAGCAAGTCACAATTACTAGAAAGCAAATGAAGAAAAGACTCACCCTATTTTAAAGAGATGGAAAGATTCATAGACAGAATTGATACCAGGTGATTTTATATCAAGCTACTGGTTCCTAGACCCCACATGAAATTATTGGCATAGAACTCTACTGTTGGCCAAAGAGTCTTCACTTGGCTTAGTCATACTGCTAAAATATTCAGATTTGATTTTATTTTCTTAGTGATTTCACATGTCTTGTAAGCTCCCTCTCAGAAATACTACAGATCTGACCCAACTTGTGTCAGAGCTGTATGTAGTAGCAGAAAGCTATTCTAAAGAAGTATTTTCAACCTTTTTAAGTAGTTTCTATTGGGAATCAGGTAAAGACTCTCAAATGAAAGCCAATTCAATTTATTCTGGAATCAGAGTTTTCATTTCTTTCAGCATCAATATTAAATCTCATACACATCATGTAAGGGTAACTGTACCTTTTAATACTTTCTAAGGCAATAGTCCTAGTGATTTTTTAAATTAGAAAATGTTTTGTATACAAGGAAAAGTACTAAAAAATTTCAGGATTTTTAAAAAGTCTGTATACCTTTAAACATATGTTAAAGAATTACAAATCGATCAAAATTTCCACTACGATATTTTTCAATCCTTTTATTCAATATACTTCACAATGTAAAAGATCTTATATTTGGTCCAAGCCTAAGTCATGCTACTTTGAATCTCTCAAGGCCTAAGTAGAAAGATACTTCCTGAAAAGCACATAAATGACTGCTAGTAAATCTTCTCCAGCACCAAAAAGTCTGCCACTGTCAAAGCAGAATGCATTTTAAAGGCACAAAGTTAGCAGTCTGGCCATTTTCCAGCCACATCAAAGAAAATTACAGTATAGAAAGATCAGTTGTGCACTTAAAAAACAAAATATATTTAGTCATCTTAAAAAGTTCAAACTTCATGGCCTGGGGATTTAGCTCAACGGTTCCACCACCTGCCTCGTAAGCGCAAGGTCCCAAGTTCGATCCCCGGTACCAAAAAAA